ATTGAAACTTCGTGGCCCATGCGCAGAAGTTGGTTTTCGGAAAGGAGATAGACGAAACAAGTATACAAGACGAGTGTGGATGGGAGAGTTGGAAGGGGTCGACCTCAGCGAACGTACCTCAATCAGATTGAGGACGTTTTTAGCAAAGGCCAGCTTAGGAGTACCCTAATTAAGTTAATAACAATGTACCTACCTATATAGTTTAAGTTTAAAAAATTTGGCTCTCAAAAGAAATTTCAATCGTTGTACTGTTGATATTTGGCTCTGTTGACTGATGAGTTTGCTGACCAGTGGCTTAGGCCTACTCCTGCCACCCCCACTGCGCTCGTCAGCTGTGAGTCCAGCTTCTGGCTGAGCAGTGCTCCTCCTGTGGGAGTGAAATGACCACCAGGGGGCAGCTCCTGCATTAAGCGCCTGCCCCCTGGTGGTCAGTGTGCATCATAGCATAGTGACAGGTCCTTCTGCTTTTAGGTTGATTTGTATATTAGCCTTTTATTATATAGGAGGATGCTGGAGAAAGCACAGCACCAGGGTTGTTTATCCAGTGGGTCAATGATATCATCAAAGACCCAGGTGTGTTTTTTTTTTGTGTTTTTTTTAACCTTTCTCTGCTCTTTACTTATGCTCCTCTCTCATGGTCACAGTGTGGCTGCAGAAGGTCACAATATGGCTACAGAAAATCAGGTGTGGCTGAACAAGGAGAGGTTCCTGCATCTTCCTTTTTAAGAGCAAGGAAAACATTTCCAATAAACTTCCCCTCCCCCACCAGCAGGCCCCTCTTCATGTCTCAGTGACTAGAGTTGGGTCAGAGCCCACCTCTAACCTACCCCCTTGCAAAGGGCCTGCATTTGCTTTGACCCGATGAGGCCCCTGAGCTGGACATATGATGGCACCCTGAGTGGTGAACACATTGGAGTTCTGTTAGAAAGGAGGAAGGGAGAAATGGATGTTGTGGAGGTGAGCAACAGTGTCAGCCACAAAACCTGACCCACACCCCAGGGGCAAGTTTATTTGAGCAGTCACAGGAATGAATATTAAATGACTTTAGGATTCTTTTCTACCTTGAGAATCTAAAAGGAATTACTTGAAGTGCAAATGAGAAGACTTTTCCTCTGTCTGTCCCTGCAGGTCCTGCCCTGACCACAGCTGCCCTTCAGGACACCGGCTCTGAGCCACGGCTGGGCCATCAGGCTGCTGTCAAGGGTGGGGCTCTGGCGACTTGTGCTGTTCCTCATGAGTCCAGCCTGGGGCTCCACCTGGCATCCAGCACGGCCACGTCTCAGGTGAGAGCTACAGAAGGAACCGTGGGGCAGCCAGACCCCAGGACCTGGGGTTCAGAGGGAGAACGAGAACAGGAGAGTTCAGTTCAGGTGTGCCCCCTCCGCACCCCCAGAGGTGTAACTGGACAGGAGGCTTGTTTATGGCTCCTAGAGGCAGGTATAGTGGGAGCTGCCCCCTGCAAGAAGGTTGGGCCAAATAAGCAAATATTCTGAAGGACACAGAAAACAGCTTCTCGGTAGGCATCTCTGGTTTTCTGTAGCCCTATTAAAAACTGTTAGTCAACGTACCAAAGTGGACTCCCAAACCACATGGGTCGTGTGTTTTCTGCTTGTCAGGTTCGTGGAGAGCTGTGGGATAGGCTCGTTGTCCCTCCAGGGTCTGGCTGTCTGAACAGAAAAAGAAAGCTGGTAAGAAACTGATGAGAAACTTCCACCAAGGGTAGTGGATAATGATCATGGACAGCAGTAGGTATCCACAGTGGCCAAGAAGTTTGGGTTCCATGTGAGGAGCAGTGGTGACAGCTTCTAGAAATTATCTACTAGCCTGACATTCTAAAATTTGCCCAGCTCTTCCGGACATACATCAGGGGCACTAAGATAAAATATGTGGGAGCCTGAGTATGAGGCAGTACAGTGGGATTTAGTTATGAGTGACTTCTAGGGTGGGGCAGGGGGCGAAGTAACACTAATCTGGCCATTATATGTGTTGTTATATTTTATGTGCCTATCTTAAATCTTCAATCAAATTGTCAACTCCTTGAGGACAGTAATATTTCATTTCTCTTATATTCTTCACAAGGTCAATACTCAGTAATTATTTATTGGTTGATTTTTCGGTATATATTTAAACGATAAAATTTTATCAGTCAAGGGCCTAGAATTTTCATTCATTTGGGCAGAGTTGTCATCAGTATCTATTGAGCACCTCCTGAGATGAACAGCGTCAGAGACCTTAGCCACTTGAACTGGCCGGAGTGTGTTCATTTCTGAGGGCTGTCAAAACAAAATACCACAAGCAGGGTGATTAAAAACAACTGAATGTATAGTCTCACAGATCTGGAAGAGACACGTCCCAAGTCAAGATGTTGGCAGGGCCCTTGCTCCCTCTCCAACCTGTGGGGAACCCTTCCCTGTCTTCTAGCTCCTGGTGGTTTGTGCCAGTCTTTGGTGTTTCTTGGCTTGCGGCCGTGGAATACAAGCTCTGCCTTCATTGTCACATGGCATTCTCTTTACCTGTCTCTATTTTCACATGACTGCTTCTTATAAGGACACCAGTCATATGACCTCATCTTAACTCAAGACATCTACAATGAGCCTATGGATAAATAAGATCCCATTCTGAGGTACTGGAGGGTAGGACTCCAACTTGTCTTTATTTGGAGATCACAATTCAACCCAGAACACGAAGTGAGCTCATTCACGGGGCTAAGACCAGAACACACAAAGGGCTAGGAGTGAACATGAGCCGTGTCCCCGGTGCTGACAGGAAGAGGGAGGGAGAAGAAGCAGCAGGGGCACCTGTCCAGTTCTCTCGTCACTGTCTGGGGAAGTGTGTTGGGTTGGGGCCCAGTGGACACACTGTGCTACTGTCTGTGCCCCAGAGGAGAAGTTCCATGCTCCTACTGCTCTGCCCTTTCATAGGACGAGTCGGGAAGAGGCCTCAGAGGCTGGGAACACACAGACCATTTGGGTTCCAGGTAACCTTAACTTTGGAGGGAAGTGGAGGAGCCCACCTCATCCTGTGGAAAGTTGCACCCTTTTGCCCTAGGAGAGGAGGAGCTACTGGGCCCAGCCAGCTCATTGCCAGGCTCTCAGAGAGAGTTCTAGATACCAGATATTGAACAACCTGCTTGTCTCTGAGCCTAGTGAAACCTGGACTTCATGCTGCAACTTTCTGCCTCCCCAGTTTGATATCCCTTAGTGCAGAAGTTGTAAACCAGAGGCCCACAGGTCACTTGCAGCCCATAGATGTGTTTTGGCTACAATGGCTGGTGTTCAGATGTTTTTATATTATTTTTTGAATAATCAGTACATTTACATAGTTCAGAAATCAAATCATTATAGAAAGCTATCTGGTGAAAGCTTATCTTGGCCTCTACCTGCCTGTCCAGCCCCCTCCCCTGTTACCACTTCTATTACTTTCTTATACATTCTTCTAGAGTTTCTTATTGCAAATACAAGTCAGTACAAACTACATTCTGCCTCCATTACTTTCTTTCTCACATAATTGTAGTCCACTACATGCTTTTTCTACCTTGCTTTTATCACTTATCTTGGCACTCTTTCCCTACTAATATGCTGAGAGCCTTCTCACTCTTTTTTACAGGGGTGTATACATTATGTGGATGCACAATGTATCACTTATTTAACCAAAATCCTTCTGATGGACACAGGTTGTTTTCAGTCATTCTCTGTTTATTACAAGCAAAGCTGCAGTGACTAAAACTGCCACTTTATACTATGTTTGAACATGTATAACATTTAAAAATTCTGAAATATCTTTGAATGATCAAAAAGACTAGAAACACGAAGTTCTAGTAACTGTAGGTTGACCACTGTTTGGATTGTTAGCTGTTTCTCAGGGTCCCTAACACTGGGTCCGGCCTGCTCCCATTCGGCATGTTCCCCACCCCCTCTTCCTCCCTCTTTGCTCTGAGGCTGAGTGTTGACTGCATTGAGCACCTCGATTAGTTGCGCTCTTTTTCTTATGGTAGATTCAGAGGGAAGGGAAATCGCTCTTGTACCCATGCTCTTTCTACATTCTTTCAAGTAGAAAATGAAAGCCAGGGAGGCTGTCTTTTTCAAGAAGAAAAGGAGAAGACAGATTCCTTTGTGGATGTAATTCTGCTTCTTCTTATGTTCATCTGTGTTACTCGTTTGGGCACTTGATTGTGCAGCCCGGCCTTGTTACATCCACGCTTTTCTCTCACCTCCGAGCAGAAGGGAAGGACTCTGCTCGCTGGTTGATTTAGCACTGCCAGAGCAGCTGCTTGGAGACCAGCAATAACAATGAACAAGATAGTCAAATGCATCATTCTAACACATGTGCTCTCTCACCAGAACCCCACGAGGATGGGGACGTAATATTCCTGTTTCCATTTCATAGACAAGGAAACAGTAATAGAGTGAAGTCGCTTGACTAAGATTCATAATTTGTACATGGCAGAACTAGTATCTTTTTTAAAAAACATTTTTATTGATTTTCAGAGAGTAAGGAAGAGGGAGAGAGAGATAGAATCAATGAATGAGAGAGAATCATTGATTGGCTGCCTCCTGCACGCACCCTACTGGGGATCGAGCCCGCAACCTGGGTATGTGCCCTTGACTGGAATCGAACCCGGGACCCTTCAGTCGGCAGGCAGACGTTCTATCCACTGAGCAAAACCAGTTAGGGCGGAGCTAGTATCTGAAACCAAGAACTTCTGGCTCTAGAATCTGCTGTTTTTAGCCAACATATTGGCTGCCTCAAACTCTTTTTTTTTTTTTTTTTTTTAAGGTTGTGGCTAACAGTTATACTTCTCGCCTTTTCAGTTTGTCGTCAGTGGTGGCGTGATGATGATAGTCATGACAAAGATAAGAGGAAACTCTGAAAGTAGGCGAGAGGTGACATGCTACAGGAAGGCAAATAATGAGAAAGCATTGTTGTTCTAACAGAGGCCAGGCTCAGCCTTTACATCTGTCACAGTGGATAGAGTGGAATCGGCTCCGTTGCCCCCTTTGCTCTTTCAGTGTCCGAACATTTATTGAGCAACTTCTGAATGCAAGGCACTGTGCCAGGTGGGAGATGCAATGAATGGGCCACACCCTGGTCCTCAGAGCTAGGACTTGTCAGCAGACACTGCAGTACCACCTGGTGAGTGTGGCATTGGAGTGACATGGATGTGTCAGGCTGGGTCCTGAATGTGAGAAAGGAAATAAATTCAGTGTGGGGTAACAAGGTGGGTAGTTTGTAGTTGTGTCGGGTCTTCAGCTCTGCTGGATGGAGGAAGGAAGCAAGGCCCGGAAGTGAGGCTGTGAGCTAAGGAGTTGAGCCATCTTTCTGCCCACAGGCCAGGGTGGAGGTGACAACGGCTGCACCTCTGGAGCTGTGGGCTCTTTGGCAATGGGCTCAGTCAGGGCTGAAGGTGGGCTGAAGGAAACGGCCTCTCCCCTTTCCTGCATCCCATCTCAGCTTTTCTCATTCCTGGGCTGGGTTTAATGTCCGAGCTGGGCTGCCTCCCGTGGGGCACTTACCCTGGGAGTTAGAATTCTGCTGGAGGGCGAACCCCTGTCCCTGGATGAAGGACTAAATTTGCCAGGGAAGAGAGGGGGGCGGGGGCAGAAGGACACAGTTCACAGGTCACCATATTCGACCTTTGACGTCACACTTCAGCAGAAGGATCATAGGCCGGGCTTCCTGTCACAAGGAGGGAGGCTCCTTGCTTGTGTTTTTATTTGTTGCCTTTCTTCTTTCTTCTCCCCCAGGTTTGCATCCACAGTATCTATCATCTCTGTGGTTATCTTAGAACAACTGGGGGTTTTGCTTTGTACTTATTCTTTCTCTGAGTGTGACACTAACCACAGCCGCCTCCAGGCAAAGGGTGTAGGGCAAGGCCAGCTGCTCTTCATTCAGATACTGTGGTCTTTGGTGCAGCTGATGCTAGTGGCGAAGTTATACAAAACAAAGGTGTTGAAACTCAGTCCAAGTGACTGTTGGGGACCTGCTGCTTGTGCTTCTAGGGATGAATAACGGAAACTCATTTTTTTCTGGTTGAAAAGGAGAATTCAGAGTCCTGATGGAACACAGACAACAGGCATTGCAGGGCACAGTCGTGCACTTCTCTGTGCTGGCATCTGTGTGGACATGCAAGAGACGCACCCACACTCTGTCCTCAGGGACCTATTGACAAGAAGAGGAGAAAAATGTACCTCCCCTCTTGGGCCCGCTTCCTCATTTGAGAAATGAAAGAGGTTGGGCTTTACCAGTGTTCCTCCCGGGGTCAGAGCTGCCCTGAGGGCAGTGCTTCACAAACACTCCATGTGCACATGAACCACTGGGGGTCTTGTTAACATGCACATTCCAGCCCAGGAGGTCTGTCCAAGGCTTTTGATTCTGCGTGTCCAACAGACTCCAGGTACTGAGGCTGGTGCACAGAGCTTTGAGTACTGTGGCTCTGGGGGCACTTGGGAAATCTGTGGGTGGCTTAGAGTTGCCACAACAATAGGGTGAAGCCCCTGGCATTACTGGATGGGGGCTAGGCATGCTAGTCATGATTCTGTGTGGGAATGTCATTAGTGAATTGTCACCCACTCTGCCAAACTCAGCCCACTGCACATATAATCACTAATTACTTCTCATATAGTAATACTGAAAAGTTTTTAAAGAAGTTATGCCAAAAGCCCAGTAATCTAGGAGACCATTGTTCTGG